TAGGAATTTGAGTTTTTTATGCAGTTCTTATGTTTGTTAGTAACGTACTATATTATTTGTGTTACTTAGAAGTTGAGACACATTAGCAAGAGTGTTCAATACAAAACAAATCATCGGTCCCATATACAGTTGAGAAAAATCACATAATTCTGAAACCTGTGAAATGTCAGGATCATTGAAGCAGCATTGAAAGGCAAATGTCTTTAAAAATTAGTTTAACTTGCATTTTTTACTTAGGTTAAATTGCAAAAGTGTATCTTATTTTCTTTTAATATCAGCTGACATCTTCACTTACGTTCATTTTAAGCACTGTCACAACCAGCAATCCTAAAATAAAACATGAAAATAGATGGAAAGGGCAGTGCTATGCCTAAACTCAAGGCATTTAAAGAATCCTATATGCAGATATGGCTATAAATTTTCTCTAGTTTTATTTTTCCTTCTCTTTAAAAGCAGAAATAATATAATTTTAGATAATCCAATTAAATTACCATCCATGACTGTTTTCTGTGCTTTTGGACTAAGTGTCCTCTTTTCTACGTACTTCCATCAACTGCGGTGCCCTTATTTGATTTGCTACAGCCTGAGAGGAGGAAATTGTCTACAGACTATAAATGAACTTTCTAATATATAATGACTTTCCTGCCAAGCTCTTCCGTTTATTTAGGACCTACATTAGCAAGTGACAGTACTTTAAATTTTGCTAAACCTCTTTTTTGGCTGGCATATGGCTAGGATCCAGATTTCTAGCTGAATCCTGCACGGTGCAAGACAATCACGAGAAAACTCTAAGTAAGAATGGATTGCGTTCAGATGGATATTGATCTAACTTCTCCCAAGATTTAAAAAAAAAAAAAAAAGAGCAAGCAACTGTGCTTACAATTGCAATGCTGCATTTGCACCCCTTATCCAGGGATTTCTTGCCAAGATAAATATTATCCCCTATTTACCAGGTAGCAAGATGGGAAGACAAAGTTATTTTGTACCTGGAGTGGAAAGTCAGTGGCATCATCTGGAGTAGACAGACCCCTGCCACTCTGACTTCCAGGTCTTTGCTCAAAGGAATGTGATTTAAAAGGCTGTTTTCTCACAAAAGCCTGACTCTTTCTTTAGTTTTTCAGGGTTGGGCTGTCCTTGGGAGAACTGAATAAAATTCCCCCTTCAAGAGGGAAGTTTTCCAGCGCTTGCTGGCCAGGGGATCGCAAAAAAGGGGTTTAAGCAGGGAGAGGAGCTCCTGTGAAGCATTCCCAGGGGTTTGCTTCATGGTAACGAAAGGGCAGATGAATTCTGCCCTATTGTATCCTGGGTAGTATTTGTAATAATTCAAGCATCACTTGACTTGTTGTAAAGGTTAGCTTTGTTCGGTGGTTTGTGTTCCAACAGCTGTTCCCATGGAGAAATCCCTCTTTCAGTCACTGAGAATTCAGCCTGGGTTAGAGAAAGAAACCTTGAAAAGGTTTGAAAAACAGGCCAGAAAAGGCACGGAGGTGGGGAGGCAGGATATGAGTAAGGAGAGGTCAGCCTCTTCTCAGAGTGCCCAGGGCTCACTCGCACAAAGCAGCAACATTCAGTAGTCGGGGACAGCCGTGTTTGCACACTAAAACAAATTTTGAGATGTAGATACTTCTCACTGGAGAATAAACCCTCGAGGGTGATGCTTTGCTTTCCAGCCTCCTGCTGCTGACCCTTTTCCCCCATGAAGGACAGGCTGTTTCACTGCTGATGTAACAAGTGTGAGCTCCTGGTGCTTTTGTCTGGTCCCACTGACACTGGGCCGTGCCCCTTCCAGCTGGGGGTTTGGAGCACTGGTAAAGACACATTTCGGGATCAGGGAAGAAAGGAGCTGCGGATACTCTTTTCTGGGAGAATGAAAAGTGTAAATGGTGTTTGGGGGCAAGAAAAGCAAATATGAGTGAGGACAATGTTCCAGCATAATGCCTCATACTGAGTAATGTTTTTACTGTGTAAATAGCCTCCAACTAACTTAACGTATTTCAGTTGTAAGCTTGTTAAAAGCAAATTGTGTTTTGATTGCATGAGGCAGTTTGACAAGCAATGAGGATGTTTGGTGTTAATGCAGCCAGCACAAAACCTACGAAGCCACAGTGCCTTTGAAAAGCCCTGTGCTCTAGTTGCTGCTTCCCAGGCATTGAGCTTACCCATTTTTTCCATCGTGTTTCAGATTTAGAGGAGGTGCAGTTTGGTTTGTACTGTGCTGTGTATGTGCGACCGAGGTGTAAGGCACCAGGCTTCCAGTACCCAGAGGACACTTCAGATCAGACTGAGAGTATTTCAGCCATGAGAAGCACCTAAGCTCAGCTGTGGTTACTCAGATCATCTGTCACTACTGCTTAAAGCAATGTGGCAAGAAAGGTTCTTACATTTTTTTGCTTTATCTACCCAAACTCTGACTTTCTTAAAAGGTTATTGTTAGCTTAAGGCACCTATCAAAAACCTTTCATACGGTTGTTCCTAAGGATGCCTTTAATTACTGTAATGGAAGAGCACATTTAAAAAGAATAATAATTTGTCAGTTGCTACTTACTGGTTTTATGTGGAGGATGAAAGTGCAGCAGGAGTGTCTGTTTTGTTTATTTGCTGTAGTTTATTTCTAGTCAGACTTCTTCATGTATTTGCATAGTGTTGCACTGTTAAGGGTGATTACCCTGAATGTGGGCAAAAGAACTGTTCTGTAACTAAGGACATGAGGAGACACAGGAAAGTCCTGGTGAATTAGCTAAAGATAGATAGGATTTCAAATTTTATTAGCCTCCCCCCTTGCTGTCTCGATCCTAATTCAAAAGGTGTTAAATTTCTGCAGATGTACTCTTGAATAACTGTCCATATAGGGAAGTAAAGTATTTTTGCACTTTATTTTGTACTGATGCATTTTAAGTGCACACTCTAAATTAGTTTGCTTTTCAATGTGTGGGGAAGCTCTGTAGCCAAGGAATAACTTCCTCAGCTGCCTCCATGGTTGCAGTCTCTTATGGTGCTACGCGTGTGTCCTGCCCCTTATTACACCCTCCTGGAGACCTACGGTCTGGGGACCTAGAGGACCATAGGGAGTTGCAGGGAATGCAGGGTAGCATCCACACATCCAAGGAATCTGACCCCCATCTCCCCCTCTACCTTCCCTTTGGTCGCATTACAGGTAATCTGATTAACTACGGGATTCTTTGGATCCCACCCACCACAACAGATAGGCTCCTTGTGTAGTTAGTGACAGTGCAGATGCAGTAGACAAAACCTCGTCAATTTGTGTGGGAGGGAAGAGGGTTGGGAAGTCTCACAGAGCCTATCAGTCATTCTCCAAATGCATTTCGTATGCAGTTTTGCTATATCAGTGTTACCCCCCGTTTTTCCCCTCTGGTCTTGGGAAATGACCTCCCCTACCTGGTTGTGCGGGTGCTGGGACAGTATCCAGAGCAGAGCGATGGAGGCGCGACGCACGTCCTTGCTGCCGGATGCCAGGAGAGAGCGCAGCTTGGGCAGGACGTCCTCAGCAACCATCTCGGCCTGGATGTCTGCTGGTTTGGGAAAATGACCGAGGTCAGGGAGCTGAGAGGAGGCATTCAGGCCCCGACTCATAAACATTTGACTGTGCCTCAGTGATGAAATTAGAGGGGACCTCCCCATCTCTGTGGGATGGGACAATGCTGGATGTTTGGTTATAAAAATAACCCCTCATTTGTTCTGGCTCCTTTTGCCAAAGGATTAATCCAGGCTTGAGAGCAGAATGTAGATTTGGGCACCCTTCAGTTTATGTCTGAATCTCAGTGAGAAGTAACGAGGGGAATTTTCCGAGTCCTTCATTGGCATAAGGCCTGGTAGGAAGGTGGCAGCTTCTGCTGCACAGACAGAAAGACAGACCACCCCAGGCACCACCTGTCTTGCAGAGTTATGGTTAGCTAGGGGAGAGATCAGCTATTCTGGCTGAATCTTTGTATCCATTTGTCCCTGCAACTTCAGTGAGTGCTTTTGTGCACTCAAGGCAATGCCAGAGCAGCCAGCAGACGGAGCGGCAGTCTTAAAAGGCCAAGCAGACCAGGGGTTTTCAACCATGCCAAGGAGCAGTGCAGCAGTTCCTTCATTCCCAGCTCCACTATAATTGTAATCGCCTGAAAATTAAGGCCCTCTACATTTTCTAGATGAAAAACTCTACCCTGGACCCTAGGGCTCTAGCGTTGAGTGTGCCAGTCCTCTGCTTTCATCTCCCGAGTATGCTGTAGAAACAGATCTTGGGCATTTAATAGGATAGGATTTTTTTAAGAGGATGAGAAATGCTTGGGAAAAATATTATATTTAATGATAGACATATTCATGCCTTGGGAGAAGGCAGGTCCCCACTCAAGCAGCAATTTCAGGAGACATTCTGTCCTAATCGGGTTTAATGCTTAGGAAACATGAGCGTGAGGAAAACTTAGTAAGTTGCAAAGGCTCTATGCATACGACCTCTGCTGTGTCTCTCACTTTGTCCAGACACTTCCCCTCGCTACCTGGGAGCTCTGAGGCAGGTTTAGTTAGTCTATGCACTCCCTTAATATCCAATTAAAATGTAGAAAAGAGGCTCTCTCTTTGCTTTTAATATGAAAGGTTCCCAACCTACTGTGCTTACTCGGAAAGGCAGAGAGAGAAAGAAAAAGAAATAGTGTGGTTTGTTTATCTCCAAGATATTGCTTACCACTGGTAGCCAAATTTCTTAGGCAAACACATGCCTGGCTTGAAACCTGCTTGTGCCAAAGAGAGAAGGAAAAAAAAAAAGAACGGTTTCAGTAATGCATGTTCTTGCCTATTGTATGCAAAATAAACGTGACAACACTAGCAAGCTATTACATTATCTTCAAAGCACAAATTTTGGGACATTTTTTGTGGTCAAAGTTTTGATGAATTTTTTTTTTTTTTCAATCTCCTCTAGTATCAGTCATCCTGTTGTTGATGAGGAAGAGCAAATGGGGTTCAGATGTTGGTTTATTTTAGGAATGTCAGGTAAGTTATAGGAAAATGAAAGGAGTGAGTTTGTCTCATTTGCTTTGCCTTTTTTTCACCTCCCTCCTACACAGAATTTAAGGTTCCACCCTTTAAATCTTGAACTGTGGCTTATTGACATTTCTTTGATGTGGCTTCCAACAAAGTAAAATTTTCGAGATGTTATTCTTTGAAGCCATATAGTCAAAGTTATGGATACCAAAAAGGAAAAAAAAAAAGTAGCATAATAGATGCTCCAGATACTTGCTGTCGCAGACACAATGATCAAACATAGTTGAGAGCCTGGACAGAGCACTAGAATACAGGCCATTCTAGTCTACAGGAAGTGTCTAGGGCTGTGGAACAACTTTAATGATTTCCCTTCTCTTTCTCCATACATTGACCTTGTAGAACCTATGTATATTCTAATATATGTGTCTTTTCTCATGGGAAAGGTGCTGCATAGGCACCTGTACAGTAGATGAGCAGAACTGTGCAAGACTGAAATTGGAAGCCCAAGTTTATAGCTCTACTCTGATGCTAAGCCTTTACACAAAGAGAAAGCTACAGCTTTACCTTGTCCACAGGAGAGGACAGGAGAGAGATGAGTGTCCGCAGGAGGAATCTGTTGCCGGGTCTCAGCATGGCTTTGTGGTGCTGAACGTTGGCTGCCACGTTGCTTAGTGCAGCACAGCTGTAATACTGCAGAGAACCAAGAAAAATGTAGAGAGAAAGGAGATCGCAGTGGTGACATGTTAAAGAGAATAAAACTAAATTGGAGAAATGCTCAGATTTAGAGCTGCTGAAAATAAAGTGCTTTTTCATCTTAAGGATGTTTTATTGCGTAGGTGTGATAACAGCCTAAGTGGGCTTCTTCCAGGAAAAGCAATGCAATCTGCTGTAGCTACAACAGCAGTCACGCTGTGGCACTGCATGTTGTACAAACCCATTAGGACCCCAGCTATTTGGGAATGTACTGTGCTGCTGCAACTACACTACTGCTGGCACCTAAGTTAGGTCATCTGCATCTACTGTATTATATGTTTACATTGATTTATTCAAGCTGGATGTAGTCATTGCCCTAGCATGCCAAGAGATCATTTTCAAAGCATTTGAACATTAATGCTAGGGAGGATTATATACGTAAGAGTATGTATTACTAGGGAGGTATAATTAGAAGAAAACAGGCTGAATTGCAGAGAAGGAAATTTTAAGATGAATCTCAGAGAAAGCTGATAATGCTGAAACAGTTTACAGAAAGCAATTCCAGAGGCTCCATCCCTTCAGACATTTAAAAGAAATCTGAATAGAGATAACAAAACTGATGGAAGAAAGAATCCTGTACTACTCAGAGGACTGAATAAATGAACTAGCGGATTTTAAGGTTTACAACTCTGATTCGTAGTTTTTCATCAGCATATTTTTGAACGAAGACCAGCTCTCTATTAAGTGTGCAGAATCACAAAGAGGTGTCTGTGGTAGGCATAAAATAGGAAGATTTCCCAGACATTTACAATAATAAGAAAAAAAATCTTTGCAAGTTATGCCTTCTCAGAACACTTAGTAAAATTGCTTAGAGTGGAAGATCAAAGTTAGGATGCAAAAGAAAAACAGAGGAAGACGCCTATCTGCAACTTCTCTAATGATCTGAAAGACACAAGAAGGTAACAGCATAACAACTGTGTGCTGGCAGATGCACTTCAGCATCATAAACTTTCTCCTGTGGAGCTAGACAAATTGAGTGTTTTGAATATACATTATCTGACTGAGCTGAGTTTCACCAAGATGCTCTCACGTTTCCCCACTTCTCCCTCCTCTCCACCTTTTCATTTCTACATGCTGTGGTTTGTGCTCTCCTTACACTCACACTGTTACTGTTTAAAAATCTGACCTGTTTGAGCCATACCTGCACTTCTGAGTCAGGAGATTCAAGCAGCAAGGCAAGAACTGGTAGGGCTCCTTCCTTGCATAGGACCTGTTGGATTTTCTCTGCCATTAAAAAAAAAAAAAAAAAAGTCCTGTTAGTGTCTCTTTCTCCTTCCCTCCTTCTCATCTGGAGGCACCATTCAAAAGGGATATGCACCATCATTGGATTCTAGAGAGTGGTGAAGTTGTCCAAATATATGCCAGTGAGTGTGACTGGAGAGTATATAATTTAGAGCTTGTGCTATATAGCAGTGTGCAGACATTTTAGCAAAATTACTAACAGGCTGTCTGATCGATTACGCCTTTGCTGGTTTTATGCTAGACTGTTCCAAGAATCTGAACTGCTGGAGAAGCTGAAAAACCTCACATACGACATTCACCATGATTCCTGTGTTAAAAAAACCAAATTATTTTAAAAATTTTGAATAACAGATGTGTAATAGCCACCTGTAGAAGTTCTTGCCAACCATTCCCTTCCACCAGATAGAGATACGAGACATTACTCACGACTGTATCATTTAGCTGTGGGATAATGGTATCATCTAGACAGGTGAGATTTAATGCTGCTGTGTTTCAGAGTTCATGTATGGTAGTGCACATATTGTTGCAGAGGACCAAATACTGCTTTTGCTAAAGCTGTTGGCAGATATCTCAGGAGTCTTTAACGTCTGGCCCGGAACAGTTACATTTTGCATCTTCCAACATCAAGTTAGGGATACAAGTCAAACATTCCTAGAGCATGACATTGTTGGATAAGCTTCTGAGATTGTTTCAAAGTACCACCAAAGGTACTGCTAACTTTTTAGACCAAGTTATTTCTTTAACAAATGATTGGGTTTTTTCTATTTCTTTGCCTGATGATTTAAGTGCTTGTACATTAGCCCCTTGGGGTTGAAAATCAAGCCTTTCTATTTTGGTACTAGGCAAAAAAGGGTCTGTATTAGCTAAAGAAAAGCCAAACTTAAATCATCAGCCTATGGTATCAACATGAATGCCATATGCAAAGGAAATAATCTGTTGCTCAGATACGCTCTTATTCTTGCCTTAACCCTTTTGAATTATTTTTCTATCAGTGAGAAATTTTCTTTCAGCAATTTTAGATAAACCATTAGTCAGAAAATACCTGATTGTGTGAGGTTGAGAATAGCACCAACAGCATTTTGTTGGACTCTAGGATCATAGGAATTGGCAAGAGACAGCAGGGGTGTAATTCCTCGAGCAGCGCCAATAGCCTCTCGGTTGGACTCTGGAGAAAAGAATCAGAGAAAGAAAGAAAGAAGACATTGCCATCTTACTGTGAGCCAGGAGCAGGACAACTAGCAGGACTAGACTTCTTTGGCGTTCACTTCTCTGATTCTTTGGTATATATCAAAATTTCTCTGCATGCTCAAAGGAACCTGTTAAAAATTCCAAGAGCTCAATGGGAAAGAAACTAACCCATGACTTCTGGATTAGCCATAGATCACAGCTGGTTCAATGCTTTTGTTTTGTGACTGGGATGATTAAAATAAAAGGACCGTAAGTCCCCTTAAGCAGGTTAGCAAGGTGTCATATTTACCTTGTACGCCTGGTATGTCTGATCAAACACTGTGCCAACCAAAAACTACATAATTAACTGCAGGTAAGACTGAATTAATTTAGCAGGGTATATTCAGGGCCAATTTCTCTCTTCGAATGTGCCTGTGTTACTCCTTTGACAGCTACAAACAATGCAGAGGTTTCTAAAGACAGAATTTGATGTAACCACTGGAATTTGCTTCAGATGCTTCTTCTCTGAAGTGGTGATGCTTCCTTGTATGGCAGTGTATTAAGTTGCACAGCTGTAGTCAACATCCTGGAGTACAAGAATTCAAAAAAGATCTGCAGAGTCCCTTGAGACTCTTGGATGAAAAACTGGGGGGAAAAGATAACTATAATACTTAAATAATGCTATAAAATACTATAACACATTTTTATATACTGTGTATATAAGTATACTACATATGATAAAGTTATACTATGCTATGAAATATAATACAATTTAGAAAAAAATCTGCTTTTAGTTCTACTCCTTTTGTTTCGGACTTACTGAAGGTAGCCTCAGCTGTGCTATATAGAAGAGAATCCTTTCATTACTTTTACCCCTCTACCATGAAGCCATCAAAACATTTGCAACAAATAACCTGCTGCCACACTGAGACAGCTACGGGCCTCTCCCTTTTACTGTCTTATTTTTATATATACATTATCTGTATTTGTATCTTATAAGCATTCTAGTGGCATAATTTTGAAAAACTAAGGTGTTGGCAGTGGTGTTCTTTGAAGTTGATGAGATTTAAATGGCAATTAGACCAATGAAGAATTCTCTTAGTATCATAGAATTCTGCAGACCATTTTATAAAAGGAAAAAGCAAAGTCCATAGTCTACATGTTCCATTGTTTATATGAGCCAAACTGCTACTGAAAACCACAGAAGTTTTAGTTGAGTATTGCTTCATTTACGTACATTTCTAGACAGTTTAAACAATGGCCAGTCTCTGGAAGTTTGCTGAGAGAAACATGAAGCAGAAGAAAGCAAGAAATATGAAGGTATTTGGATGAGATCAACTCTTCAGGTGCCAACTAAGAGAGTTAAGAGAACAAAGCCATTATTTCTATACATGGAGCCTACATGTACTGGGGAACTGACACACACAGATAATCCAGGAAATTTATTCAACTATAGTTCAGCCAGTATCAGTTTAGTATTCCAGGACAAGCCCTTTTCTGCCTTCATATGAATATTTTATGCTCAAGGAAATACCTTTTATTCCGGAAAAAAATACTCTAAATTTTAAGCAAAGTAATTGTTCTGGGAAGAGTCATGTATTTAAAAATAGCTTTTCCACATGGTGATAGTGAAATTATTCTGGTGAAATATTCTGGTCAATTTTGTAGACAAGCCATTCTCCAATCTAATCTGCCTGCATATTTTTTTTTTCGTTTCCCTCAGCAGAAGCAGAAATTCTTTTGTGCAGCTCCAACTGATGAAAACCAGTCTGGTGTGATGTAAACTCTCATTAGTTGAATAAAGAAGAGAGGTAAAAAGATTGAGAATTCAAATGTTGCTGCTTCCTTCATTCTTTCACACAATACACTCCATGAATATTTGTGAATGTGGAAGATAACCTCACATTTGGGCAAAGGGATTACAAACATTTGGACAAAACTTGGGCAAGTTCTTTCTTCCACTTTCCCTTCTAGGGCAGGGAAGAGGAATCCTGTATCCTCTTGTGAGAGAGCTTCTCAGGGGTGTGTTTCCAGTCTGAACATCTTCTGAAGAAAGCACTGGCCATGACAGAATATGAGCCATTAGTTGCTTCAAAGGTTTTTCTTCCTTAAAGAAACATAACTGGCTTGATTTGGAAAGGCTTCACATCCATGACAGCTCAAACAATTTTTCTGCCTGAGGACTCAAGAGGTGGTGGTCAACACTGGAAGCCTATAGTGGCAGGATGAGCTCTTACAGCCTGCTTCGGAGGGAGGCAGCACATGGAGACCCAGGCACCCCACTCCTGTCTGGGAAGGACTGGAGCGCCCACTCTCATCATGGGAGAGTGGAGAGACCACAACAGGTACCCACACGATGCAAACCTCTGTGACCAAAATAATTTTTTTTTTTCCCCTTGGGTCATTCACTAGCTGACAAGTTCTCCTCTGCGGTCTTTGTTAGTGCCCATTATTGTGGGTTTGCTGGATTTATTTTTACATATGTCATTTTCCCTTATCCTTCTCTCCATTCTCATTCTAATTTTGGTCAGATAATGTGGCTAAACACTGTCTGTTTTGTCAACTTATGACAGAATGGATGGAGAAATCTATCTCACCAAGATGTGTAACCGTACTATCATCTCTGTAAGAGACGTGGCAGGCTAGATTATGCTTCTCTCCTGGACCACCTGTTTATCTAAGTAATGCAGCCCTTCCACTGACGCCACTGCAACCACTGATGCCCCCTAGAGTGCTTTTAAAAGGGAACCACGTATTCAGATGTTACTCTAAAGTGGGGAAATCAATAACATCTACTCAAGCTGGGTTTGAATAACTCACCTTGAAACCTGCATTTATAAATTCTTTCTTTCCCCTCTCTGTCATTTGCGTGCTTGAAAATTCTCCTGTCAGTACAACTTTGAATGTGCTCTACACTCAGTGCATCCTCCTCGTTTAGCTTAATGCAGATGTTCAGACCTCCCTAAACCCTTGCTGTGAATATTTAGTTCTGTTCCTGTGAGAAGAGTTCTTATCCCAGAACTGATTACTTTCACTCACAGATTGAAAAGCTGCAGATAATTGCAAATGTGCATGTGTCCTTTTGCTGTGTGGACAAATGCTGGTGTTGGAACAAACTGACCTTCAAATCCTTTTCATCTGAATGGGTTTGTTTGCTGGTTTTATTTTTGGCTACCTATTGCAGCAGGTAAGTATCACACAACCCAGCTTACGTATAACTTGCAGTCACGTTGCTAAAGAGCTTCACTCTGTACACAGTCTTGCATGCTCATTGCAGCAGAATTAAGACACATTACCATTGTTGGATTTAGAATTTTAGTCACTTTAAAGCTGTCTAAGGATCTTCTTAATTTGGTTGTGCTTCCATATTTATCTTTTTTAAACCACTCTGAAGCATGAATGGCTTACTTGAAGGACATGACTGAACAGAATACTTTTCTCGAGCAGACCTTTTAATATACCAGAGTCTGTGAGTTAAAATTAAAATAAACTTTAGAGAATTGGCTCTTGCTGTAGTAGCTAAATATAGTCTGAAAAAGAAATAAATGGATCCAGTCCATCTAAATCCTAGTTAAACTGGGACAGAGATCCTCAACACTGATCAAATCCCAGGCAGCAACCCAGCCCATGCACCTGCAGGACTGCCTACCTCTATGTTCAGCAGATGCCTTCCTATCTAGTTTGAAAGCTCCTTGAGTGCTTAATTTGAACTACTTGTGCTCAGTAGTACACTGGCACTTAAGGGAGTGTGCAAAGGCATTAGGTGACCATCCTCAACAGAGAATGAAGGTGGACTGGATCCAGAGTGGCTGAGGGTTCCCAGTACTCTGGGTTAAAGAGACATCTAGAAGGGCCAGAGTGCCTTCAGGACTAAAGAACATCCTTAGGTCCCCAAAGAAGTCACTTTGTGGGCTGCTGAAAACAGGTGAAGGGATATCTCTCTGTAGATCTTCAGGGGCATAACTTCACTGACCATACATAAAGAAAGTCCTTCTAGTGCCAGGTACCTAAAATTGTAGTGATGCCATGCCTAATTTAGATATTTAAATGAGGCAATTTGCATTCCACACAAAGTAATGTAGTATATATAGAGTTCTTAACCTGACTGAAATAATATGCAATGCTTAAAGATAAGTTTCAAAGGGAAAAGTGTTTAAAGACCTGCGAATAAAAAAAAAAGATGGGAAAAAATGCAAATCAGCACTTTCATGTGGTTGGATCCTGCTTATCCACTCCCCCTTTGCAATACTTAAATGAAAAAGTACACTTTCACCATGCTTCTTTCAGCCTTCTGGGAGATCTGAGTGCAACTTCCCACGCTGGAGAGGGAAGCTGGTGGAATAAACACTACAGGAAAGGAAATAAATGTTATCCATGGCTTTTATACAGGCCTTTACACAATTTGTACAGTAGAATCACACAGTTTGCAAAAAGCAGAATAAGCCAGACTGACCTGATAACCTTTCTTTTGGTAACTGTGGTTGAGCTTATCTGTCTGGATGCCAGGAAAATATCTATATCATGATATGAAATATGCATAGTTAAGCAAGAGAAGTTGGTGACAAATGCAAGTAGTATATGATGGATAAGGAACTGACTAAAAGCAAGCTGGCAACAAGTTTTGCTGAATGGGAATGACCACCTGGAAGGAGGCTTCAAGTGGAATTCCACAAGGACTGGTCTGTAGTTGGTTTTGAAGAAGAAAGTTAATACAAAGGTGTGAGTGCAGCACTGTCAATGTGATGGAGGACTGAAATATTTCACAAATAACAGACAAGTTAGAAGACTGAAGCAAAAGAAACAGAATGAAACCTTGTAGTACAAAATGCAGGGACCTGCACTTGGAAACATTTGTTGCAGACCCTTAATTAATTGCAGTCTGCTGGAAATAGCAGCAAAGGAGGAGAAAGACTAAGTGATTAAGTCAGCTGCAGGATGACAACATCACCATGATGCAATCACAAAAGAAGCAAGTGTTATCACGAGATGTACCACAAAACATATTTCCCTGGATGCCACAATAAAAGACACAGGTGAGGCCCCAGCTGAAATCCTGCACATTTCTGGTGACGTCTCTTTCAGAAGAGATTAATTCAAAATGGAACTCCTGCAGCGTCTATGTACATCTTGGGACTGTAACAATGCCTGAGGTCTGTGGTATCGCAAAACAGCAGATGCAATTGCTATGTTCCATTTCTGGAACATATCATTTACACCCTCAGGAGCTATGAAGATGAACGGAGAGCCTCGCTTACAAGAGGAGCCTTAAATGAGCTTGGCTTTTTCAGTACAGTAAAATGAAGCAGCTTCATCAGCATAGACATCAGAGAGGCAGAACTACTGAAGCAAAAGCCAAGGTAGACACTAATTAAGATAAGCTGGTCATGAATATATTTAGGTTGGAAATCGGAAAAAGATTTGTAATCATAAGAGAATGAAGGTCAGAAACACTGAGAAAAAGTTCTTAACTGGAATCTCAAGAGGTTGAATTTGCTGCTGCATCTTATGACTCTTAAACCAACTGCAAATAGGTTGTTTCACCTTGAAATATAAGGTAAGAGTTGAATGAATTCACTGCAGAGGATAAAGGCAAAGAACAGCACACTCACCTGAAACAGCCAAAGTCATGGTGCAGGCACAGGAATTGCACTGGACAGTGGGATCCTCTGACTCAAGCAGATCCAGAATTGGCTCAAGTAAACCCATTTGGACAACTAATTCTTTGTCAACTATTCATAAATTCAAGAAAAAATGGATAAACAGAAAAGTAAACAGTTAATGCCTTTGTAAAAAGAATATATCTTCCTTTGACTGCTTTGGGGGTCTATATTATGATTATGCAAAATAGACCTAAGATGGAAACAGCCTGAAGGGCACTCACAGTCCCTAGCTTGGTTTGCTTGATTCCTCTTCAGACTCACAAAAGAGTGTAAGAGATGTTCAGAGGTTCTAGTGCAGAAGGTCCCAAATATTTCTGCTAGTAATTCTATTTTCAAACATAAGGTTCATTTTGGAAAGTGCAACTGTAGCTTTCCAATAGGTTCACAATTTACTCAGCTTTCCCCTCCCCCCGCCCCAGCTTTTTTCTTCTGAAGTCTACCCTTCAAATATTTTTTTTACTTGTAAATAGTCACATGATATTATTTGCAGCAAGATCCTTACAAAAAAAGAAAAGAAAAAAGCTAGCTTCATTAAAGACTGACCCTGTCTTCTGCTGTTATGGGATAGCGTCATGAAATACCTGTTGTGCCCCATGTGCCAGGGAGCACAGTAGTAGATGCAACAAGGACTCTGTTGACGAGGTGTGGGGTGTTCATGCCCTGCCTATCAACATAAACTTTATTGGGAAGTTTTTCACCTGCAGCTCCCAGATCCTATCTCAATTACATTTGCCCTATTAGCTACAGAAGAAAGTGAATTTTATTAAACTTTTTTTTTTAAGTCTGCAAGCAAGTTAAGACCAAGGTCCAGTTAACAAAAACCAAGAAAACAAGCACTGTCTCATAGGCAGAGTTTATTTCTAAGAGCTGTATCTGTTGCTTGAAAGGGTAAGTGGTGGGATCTCAATCCAAGAATGAGAATAGTATAATTGTTCCCAAACCAGTCTGGGAATAATTTATCAGCCTTTGCACACAGATCCAAGATCTCTTGCCACATAACATAATCTAGCTGGAGGGATCTGAAATATCCTGGTGACACCAGATGTGGTTTGCAGACAGAAGCAGTCTCACATCTGTCCTAACAGGAACACAAATATGGGATTTGGATTTGTGTAGACCTGGGTGTATAGATGTGCCCTCCTTCTGTCTGAGTCTGGCTGAAGAGATACTTTTTCACCTGAAGAGAGATGTGTTGTTAATTACTCACTATTTCCTTCCAGCAAAAAGTTGACAAGGGACAAGGAAGACATCTGCTGCACCTCCAGGTCAGCAGACCGTAGTAAGGCATAGAAGGGTTCCAGGTGCTCCACAGGCAGCGGGACATTCACTGCAGGAATGAGAGGAAATATTCAGGAGTCTCATCGTTCACCGCAATCACATTTTTCTCTTGTTCGTCTTAAGCCTCAGGTGCTACTATACATAGGCTGAGTGATTCCCCTTCATTTAAATTCCATTGCTACTAGCAAAACAGGGCAAGCTTGCTGAAAAGGTTTTGAATAACCAAGTACTTCAAAAACATCATGGGAAGGAAAGCAATATGCTTCACTATCAAATAAGTCATTCTGCCTCATAGTACCTTTTATCCAGCAAAAAATATATGGGATAAAGCTATCAAGCCAAGTGCCAGAATATTCTCCTTGAACTAGATTTAAAACAAGCAAACAAATAAATAAATAAATCACAGCCTGCTTGTTGCTGGTATTTCTACCTTTTTGTAGGACTCAAACTCTTGCTGGAATTTTATTTAGCATATCTAGGCTGACTTCTAACCATTTACAAATTACCTCAGGATCCAAGTGCTCCCATGGAATAGTTGGGACAAAGAAGAACGTTTCCTTCATAAATTTCCACTACAGCCTTGCCTCTAGTGCTTTGTCCTCTTCCAAGAATTATATAATATAAAACCTTAAACGATCACTATGTCTATTTCCTTCCACCATATTTTGACTGTGTTGCTCTCAGGAGATTCAGTATACACTGACTCTAACTACTTTGGCTTCTGCCGAGTTTTATAAAAGTATTATAATTACATAAATGACAGTCTTTTATAATCATGAGAGATACCTCCTCATAGCAAAACCCAGAATGACTCTGCCCACATGGCAATGACAGCATTTCCATTTTCCTCAGCAAACAACATAGCATGAAAGAAAAAAAAGAACTTTTTGATTAATGAATCAAAGGGAGTTTCACAGTTGGAAATAATACTTTTATTTACAATTATGTGAAAATTTTCTAATGCACTGAGATAACTTACTGTGCTGACTCATATGCAAGTAATAGAGGGCAGCAGACTGCTGTAAACCTGGGTTTTCTGAAAAGGCTAAGGTCCTCAAGGCTTCCAGAGGGTCCTTTCCAAGTGGTGACATTTCAAAACCTAAAGATGTACAATGACAGCACAGACTCAATTACACCTGAAAAGGGTTAGTTTACAAAAAGAAATTAAAATTTACAGCCAACCAAACACATCAGAATTTTTGTACTGCAACAGTTCCATAGAGCCCATCTATCCTTATTCATATTTCTATGAGCAGAAGCAATAAATGAATCCGGAATAACCTGTCCTTGGCAATGCTTCTTGTGAAGCTCACAAAGCTAGTGACTGGAAGCAAGATAAATTATAACCTTTAGACACTTCTATGCTATCCAATATAAATGCAGGTGTTCTTGTTTTCCATAAAAGCCTTTATCTTTTACCAAATCATAGGAGATCTTTGTTAAAATATATCTACTAAACATAGTGTACTTAGTTATGACCTACAGAAAGAGTATATATTTCTAATTTACTACATTTTAAGTTCACTGTGTTTCCTGTCCTGGGTATTACAGTAAAGGATTTCAGGGAATAGCAACATGGATTGCAAATGGGCTTGCCTCAGGCTCAAATTTCTAGCATGAATCTACCTGTTCTTGAGTATGATAAGTTCTCCTATGAATAAACCAGATGTTCCGCAATAGCCATCAAGCAATAGCAGTCATGCATGACTTCTATAAACCACTGTATAATGTACTTATAATGTGTGGAATGGAGCAGCAGAGAGGAAAAAAAAAGGGCCATTGAACCAATGCTCAATAGTATAAACTGTTGAAAAGGTAATGTAGTATAAATTGACTGGTGGAGCACACAAAAGATGTATTTTCAGACAATAGATTAAAGCAGTGTATTAACAATTGAAATATCTCTATGAACAAGATCTAGCTACTTTACCTCCCATGGCATAAAGAGATGCAAGGGATGTGAAGGTATGAGCTTTCATGCCTCAGTGCAAAACTCAGCCAGTATCTCAAGCCATTAGAAGCTGCTGACATGTCAAGAGTAGCAAACTCCTGCCTTCGGGATTAGGTAAGTGGGCTTCACAGAAGAATTGCTTCATATAAAGATCAATTTTGTTTAATAATTAACAATACACACAAAGGGAAGGACTAGCCAGCTTGCGCAAGGTTTTAGAGAAAAACCAAAAATCTCTTCACGTGGTTTAAATCTGTTCCTTACACACTGACTATCTGAATCTCCCACATATCTGTGTGTTTTTGTTTGGGAGAGTGATAAAGCAGAAGCCACTCAAAATCTTCACCTGCTTATAACATCAAGCATTTTCTGCCCTAGCTAACAGCTGAGTATGATGATCTCTCCTTGAAGGAGAGAAGTCTCATGAAGTCTCTTCTTGCACACAAACTGTCCAAATGTTGGCTTCCTGCTTATTATAATTTATCCAGCACCGAGGATGGGCTTGTTCCATCTTGGAATAAAATACACAGGCGAGCACTAAAGTAAGAGGGATGTGTCTTAGTTCTCTTTGTGAGGTTTCCCTGCCTCCATCTGTCTTGGCAGCAGGATTTGGCCCGTCAGAGAATTAACCTTGGTTCTTCTTCCTGAGTGCTGTGTATCTCCTATTATGGACATTGGGACCTCCCTGAGAGCACAAATTGCCATCTGTGCACTGCTGTCACAGAAGCTCTAGCCTCCCTTGCTGCTGTACCCCAGCTCCTGAGGATCCAAGATGGACCAGCCTTTTGGAGATCCAGCTCAGAGAGGACAGGATTTCTCAAGAAAACATATACTTATTCTTTTCAAGAAGCACCAGTCGGTGCTGCAAAGGGCTGTTCTGGCCTCACCATTTTTTCCAGACCAGCCCTTCCTTGCACCTGATCCAACAGCTGAGCTGGGATACTGCCAAGACAGTCTTACATGGTCAGGAGCATGCTAGCCTTTGGAAATAAAGTTCAGACCTGGAAGATCCCCACTGTACACCAAGCTGAAAGGTCTAGTCCTGTTCTACATATGGACTTCAGGGTTTAGCCAGTGCTTAACGTGCAACAATTAGTGAACTGTATCAGCAGCACAGGACCCCCCACATTCATAGGTAATGACTAATACTAGCTGAGGCTAATTCGCGCGTGTTCCCAACAACCAGCGTCACAGCAATTATTCCAAAGGTTGTTCCATGACATATCATTTCAAACAGCGTTAACTGTGCCGCACCAAGGAAAAGTCTTTCCTGGTCCCCCTCACAAGATGGTTTTATTTCCCCAAAAAGGCAAGTAAAGAAATAGTAGTTTGTATTCCACACCCTTCACACAAATGAAAATAGAAGGCTATGCAATTTTGTGTAGTAGCTTTAGCCCAAGGTTGTTAAACTTAAAGCAGTATACCCAATTAGCTGTGAGACAAAGCAAAACCAAACAAGCAACGGCCCCTGCCCAAGCTTGAGACAAGGAATGGTATTAGGTAGACAACTGACAAAACACACTAATCCAAAATGATATTCTGTGATGCAGGAGTGAGATAAAAAAAGTCTTCCTATTGATATTGTTGTATCCTAGGACAGGACAGAGAGGACTTCACAAGCAGATAAACAGGGGAATTAGGGAGATAGCCTGAAAAGCAGAGGAGATACATGAAATATTATGGATCTACTTTGATCCAAGCAGAATCCTACGATTGTGTTCAAACCTTGTGTCTAAAATGTTTGCACAAAAGCACTTAGGCAGACCAGTTGCTTGGAATCTGAGGAAGTCCTGGGAGCCCAACGATGCTTGTCCCAGGGTGACTTTGACCTTCCCCACATATAGCACAGACACCCCCAGCGCAAGTCCAGGTGTTCTCCAGCCACCAACATGGATGTGCACAACTCAGCCAGGACCACACTGTGATTTGCCTGCTCACAGCTCGGCACTCATGTAGCACCCAGCTATCCACAAAGCCTGTTTCCAGCTTTGTGACCCCAGTGACTGAATTCAAAAAATTAACTTCAATCACTAGAAGGACTCACTTTTATGAAACGTATTTACATGGGTTACGTATTAACAGTAGTGGCAGAGCAAGAAAGTGACTGACCATTTCTACCTAGATGCAACTGTTACGCCACTTGAGCCCTTGATGTCCAGTAGACAAAGAAAATGCTTTGTACCTCTGGCCTTTCTTACATCACCAAGCTGCTTCCAGCCATGCCACAGCAGTTCAGCCAGCAATCTGTTTTCAACTCACAAAACGAATCTCCTTGTTCTTTCCCAATCCTATAGAAAAAAACCCAAGCCCTCTTACCTGTCTCAATATGCTGCAGAAACTCCTGTGCTGTCACCCTCTCATGAGGCTGCAGGATGGGCTTGTACAGCTGTCTGGCTTTAGAGCTGTTTTGTTTTAAGCAGGAGCATTTGCTTACCACAGCTAAGCATTCCTTGATGCTATGCACCAAGTCAGAGGACATCCTGTGAACAAAGGCCACGAAGTCCCGCAGCAGCTGCATGCATCGTCCACACAGTTGACCCATTCTTGTTCCAAGAGCAGCACAAAGCAAGAGAAAAAGGAAGGAGATGGAAAGAAAAGATTCTTCTCAACTTGTCCACGTTTTGCACTACCTTGCTGCCTCAGTGTTTGTCCTGTCTTACAGATGTTAACACTACACCGTGTGCAGCTGCTGTAAAGTAGACAAGCTTCTGCATCCAAAAAACTACATTGCACAAGGCTGGTTTCTGCAGATCTCCCGGAGTCTACAAAATATTATTTAAAAGGCTGGACGGGAGCCACCTTCAAACACCCTCCCTTTGCTTGAAGAAAAATAAAATGATGACCTAAACACATTTTGTGGAGAACAAAGAGAGTTTAACTCCTGGAGCATTCACCAAAGCCTTCATGAGGCTAGAAAAGCTCTGGGATAATGGAAAAAGCAACCTCAGTTTTTGTAAGGCAGCTTTCCATATGAAAGGTAGGCACCACCTTGTCTGCATGTGTACAAGCTGCAGCTGCCAATGGGAGAGGAAGATCAAAAAAAAAAGGGAGCATGCAAACAGGTTTATCCAGTTTTTGCTGAAGCACAGACCAGAACAAAGGCCCTGTTGGGCAAACAGCTCATAACTCAGTCAACTGAGACTTTGCAAATCAGCAAGAATAGGAAATTGAAAAAAAAAACATACAGTGGCCAAATGCATTTAGAACTATGTTTTCCTCCTGTCAAGCAAATCCTGCAGAGTGGGCTGGATAAGCTGGCAATGGGAGGATGCAAAAATCATCTGCAGTTTTCATGCAATAAAAGGAAGCAAAAGGAAAAAGAGCAGTTCTCCTCTTGCTCCATCCTTTTGCTTAATTCACCAGTCTGGTGCATGTGCCCACCCTCGGTTGAACAGTTTTACAAGTGACCTTGGTCTAATTAATGTAGCATGAAGTGACATTTGTAATATTCTTGAGGTTTCCAGTAAAATCTGGTTTGATTCAAGATCACCTTCATTATGAAACCAGTAGGTACTGGTCTGCTGAGTGATGATCACTTTTATTAAGTTCTCTTTATCCATGGAATGATGGGTTTATTCTAACCATTGCATTTGATACATTTATTGGTAAGTTTTAGCCTCACTGTCCTTTGACAGATCTTAAGGTTCTAAATAAATCATGTTTGAAAATCAATCCTTTGTTGTGTACCCATCTCCAAACACTGATGAACAGGCTCACCCAAATCTGACTGGTCTGTCCAGCTACTGCTATTTCTTCTCTTACTTACACATGATGTAATTTTCCTAAACACAAATACCATGCAGCACAGATAAACCCACCTACACCCATAAACCAAAAGGTATGAGACCTCTATTACACAAAGCAATCCATTACAAAGAATCAAGACTGATTTTTCTGGCTACATCCTTGACCAGTTCTGCAAGCCCACCAAGTCCTTGTCTCTGACTGGCTTCTTAGGATTATCAAAAGTGGGGCTAATATGCCTATTTTCTCATCACGTCTTCTGGATCCCTTCAGTAGCAATCTTCTAAAATATAGGGAAGCCATGTGATTGTCAGGTCCTGCTTCTGCCACCACTTGCTCTTCACCTTTTGCTCATGATCTTCCAACCTTCAGCTTCCATCCTAAAAGCAGTGAGGTGGCAGATCCCTGGGAACCCACCGCATGTGCCTTCTTGTCTCTTGCTCTGGCCTGTCTACAGAACTGTAAGGTTTAATCGTTGTGCAATTTTTTTAAGGTAATTTGAACTGTACTGCACAGAGATGAGAAAAAACCAGGACTGTTTCAATGAGACACTTGTTAGTGATGACTGCATTTCTCTAACATATTCTTACTAAGCATTTCAAAATGTATTAGAAACATTAAAACAGCTTTCTGCTGTACCTGTAAGGAAGATATTCCCAAAATGGTTTAAAAACAAGTTTCAGAGGTGCTGAGCTCTTGTAACTCCATTTGAAATAAATGGGAGCTAAAGAAATGCACCACACCTGAAAACTAGGCTATAATTTGCCTAAAGGCATAAAACTCAGGTCTCCCAATACTTAGTTTGATGATTCAGTCAGGAAATTGTTCTTCTTTGATTTGAAACCACTACTTAAAAGCCAGTGTAGATGGCTGGTTTGTGGGTCTTCAAACCTCCTCTGAATTCACAATAGCTGCTGTAAAGGTAAAGGTTGCAACCATAAACCAAATGTTTTTTATTAATTTCATGACCTAGATATGTTTCCTTATCTGACTGAACAAAATGTCAGCTAAGACTGCGGAAGTAGAAGGGGAAAAAATCAGTAGTACCGTAATAGTGTTAAACCATTTTGCTTGTATTCTTCTAAAGCACATGTTCCAAATAGTAGAAGCCCCACACCCTGATCTTTTTTCCAAAAAAAATCAGTTCCTTTGTAAAGCCTCTCCAAACCATTTCCATTCAGTCATGTGCAAAGGAGACTTCCAAGTAGTAACCTTACCGTATGAAGACTATTTGGAATTCTGTATAAAATGCATTTTGAAGTTTAAATCTATTTGCCAAATAATAAATGAATGCTGTAGCTAAATGGCACTTTCAACAGAGAGCTTCCACTGGTCCAGCATTTTATCTCTTGTGTAGTTTCTCTGCAAAGGACAGAAAATACTGCTTTTAGGCATAGCCCCTTAACTAGCAGCAGGTTTGTTTTGTTTTGAATTAAGAACAGAAAATCCAAAAATATATTCATTCATCACTAAATTCATCTGCCATTTCACTCATGCAGCATGCCACTGCTTGAAGCACTTCTTGTAACAGAAGTTCCTTTATCTAGTTCGCAATGGTGCATAACTTTCGATTGCTCAAAAGTTGACTGGTACTGGAGAGATGTACACAAATAGTCTTCATACTCCTCTTTCATACATTACCTAGGGCCTCTTCATTCTAACAGGCCCAAAAAGCCCTCAGGTTCTGACAGGAATATTGGAAAAAACAGAGGTCGATAACTTTATTTGAGCTATGGTAGCAAATGTTTCCCTCTTAAAGGAAGAAAATGATAGCTTCAGGTGGAAAAGGTTTTTGGGGAGTGTAGGACAGAGGCAGCGATTGAGAAAGTATGGAATCTTATTTGACTTGTGTGCCAGCCAAATAAGAAAATAGATACTTAAAGGAATGCTTAAAAAGGAGTAAATGGAAAGAATATATTTATATTACTCAAGAATCCAAAACTTTAAGAATTTGAACTAATTAAATTTGCATTTTATGAATTTGTCCCATGTAATTTTTTATTGCAACCTTTGTCTTATACACATTTCCTTCACTCTTTTCTCTCACCCTTCTGTTCAGAGGTGAGGAAAACACTGTACAGTTTAGAAAGCTGTAAGATGATGGCTGTGCATTACTGTTTGGTTACCAACAAATGTGATTTAAAAGGCGATAGCTCCCCTAATGCCTAGCAGGTCTTTACTGTCCCCATACCTGCAGTTAAGGCCTCCTCGCTTGTATCAATTCAGTGCGACTGCTCTTTTAACTGGATCTATGAAATTTTGCGGCTTCAAAATAACAACAAAACCAATCAACAAACCAAAGGTATTAAGTTCTTGAACTGGATCAGAATAGTAAAATAAAATAATGAATTAGAAAAACATGGTTGAGGAAGCAGAACAGTTCTAAACCCTGAGTCTGATATGTGCAACTTACATTACTACTAAGCTCTTTTAAATATATATATT